GTAACTTATGGTATATTTTTGCTCATTTTGCTAACTGTTTTGTGTACGATTTACAGTATGGTTGAAACTTTTTTTTTGGAAACGGCCGAAAATTCATGCGCGCGCGGATGTCATCCATATAATCAAATCAACATGGCCTTACCGAATAAAATTTGATTTGATTTGATTTACGTACCTGAGGATGTCCCTCTGCCACGGCTGCGTGGAGCGGCGTCCACCCGTCCTCGTCCTGACAGTTGACCTTCGCCCCGTGACGAACCAGCAGCTTCACGAAGTCAATGTTGCCGTCGAGAGCCGCCTGGTGGAGGGCCGTCAGTCCTGCAGCACGGTATAAATAAATGAATGAATGAAGACCTTTATTGTACATTTTGCCCCACTGGGCTAAAGACAGGTCACATATTGACAAAGTACATCAATGTTGATAATAAAACTGCTATAGTACACAAGAACTTTCAACTTCCTCTCGCTTTCTGGTAATCTTATAAATGTAGTTGGCTGTATGAGTAGTTAGAGCTGGTTTGTTAAAGACTACAAGGAATATAAATTTCTCTATACTATTCAAATACTTAAATTGGGAGTATTTGCTTGACACAAAATCGAAAAGAACGTTTCTTTCGCTGTCATACATGGAACAATCCACAATAGAATGTATCTCGTCTTCTACTTTACCTAAACTACAATATTGGCAGATTAAGCTCGCAGGTCAAATTTTGCAACTCCCTCACAGCATTTATTATAAGTATCTGATACCAGCCCAGAAAAGAACAAGAAACAATCATGCCTTCAAATATCAGAGTTATCAACCAAGAATTGAGGTATTCAAGAGCTCGTATTTCCCCAGAACTACTAGTCGTAGACTGGAACTCGTTGCCACCAAGCACAGTTGGGGCATCATCACTAAAAAGCTTTATTTAAACAACTCCTGCAATCAAATGTGCAAAGATTAAGTGTAAGGTGTCGTTAGGTGTGATATAGCTAGCTGCCGCCGCGCCACGTGCCTGCGAAGCCGGTGTGTTACGCCGAAGGGCGGTTATACCGGCTATACAGATACAGATACAGATATTTGACAACATGGCTTGCTCCTACAGCTATCTGTATCGGTATAGTATCGGTATAGCCCGTATAACCGCCCTTCGGCGTAACACGGCCAGCTACAAGACAAGTCCCAAGATTAAAAGCATCAAACAACAAAACAGTTAAACACATAATTGGCGATGATTATTTTAACTTAGCCTCCTATCAAATCTTCTATAGCGGGGAAGCGCTTCTAGTTCTACTGCGAGCGGCTAGAGAGGCGGTTTCATTTCAGGGGAGGGGGGCCTTGTTCGTGTTAAAAAGTTTTGAAAAAAATTATTTCACATGAACAAACAAAAAACATTTCAATTCTGATACTTCTACATTAATCGAAGTCTGTAGTTCATAAAAAAAAAGAAGGGTCACACTGCCGCGACAATACACTCCCACAGCGATATTGCCGTGACCAGGATTCGAACCTGGGTTATTGCGGCCACAACGCAATGTCCTAACCTCTAGACGATCACGGCGAGCTACATGCGACCTCGTTAATCGGCGAGTCAGAACTGTTCAAAGCAAAGAGAAACAAGACTGTTTTGAATATAGCTTCCTTTGAGAAAAACTGTTCACTTTGAGTTCTATCGTTTAAAAAAGAAAACTGATTACAGAATGTACAAACAAAAGAACCATTCTATTTGACATTTCTAAATTGGTCTTGTGAGAGTTAAATATATAAGACCGCAAAATACGCCCGATTTAAGAGTCGCCACGGCTGCTAGTAAGTCAAAATTGAGTCATAGGGATTCAAGAACGGTACTAAATAAATATAGCTCCTTTCGAATTTCTTTTGTCTACATGTGTTCTGAAGTGAGTACAGAATAAACCGTTGCAATGGACATTTCTAAATCGGTCTAAATCTTGTAGTTGACTAAAAAGAATGGTCGCACTGCCGCGACAATACACTCCCACAGCGATATTGCCGTGACCAGGATTCGAACCTGGGTTATTGCGGCCACAACGCAATGTCCTAACCTCTAGACGATCACGGCGAGCTACATGCGACGCCATGAGAGAACGCGCCGAATTTATGAGCAAAAGGCGTGACAGTGTTTATCTAACAACAGGTGCTGCTGTATACTAAGGCCGTGTTTATGTGAAGTCACCCAAGGCGCTTTACATGTGGTTTACCCGAAGCCGGTTTCAAGTGGCTCCATTTGAACGCTCCAAATCACATTGAAAGCGCCTCGATCCC